GATAAAAAAGGGTGAAAATTGCTGATATAAATGATTCATTTATACTAACAGACAGGTTCATTAAAGAAATATATTATCTCTGTTGCCCCACACCGTGACTGGAATTGTATGTGACCCAGAGTCCGGGTTCAGTAATGGCTTTTGGAAAGACCTTTGGTTACTATGGCCTTTCTGAACTTCGAACTCTTAAGGAAGCAATAATCTAGAATGCCGATTTGTTCATATGCAGTGAGAGCAGAGCTGCCAATACAGCGGGGAGCTCGTGTTGGTTTAGCCTGCGGGCTTTTTCCTGATAGAAGAGACGGGTGGAGAGCTGAACTGGAATCAGGAGGCTGCTCAGGGAGTAAGGAGAGCAAGTGGGGTAATTTTCAACAACAGCACCAAGCGAGGTGGCCTGAGATGAAGCCACACCCTCTACCAGAGCCACACTTGCCTTTTTCAGATCCGGGCCCCGTCCTGGCTCACTGCTCCATAAACACTGACAAAGTTTCCCTTTATGACTCTATTTTTTTTCAGTCCTTAACCCCAGCTGCACATTAGAATCACCCTGAGAGCTTTCAAAAATCCTAATGTCTGGACCTCAGCCCAGGTCAGTTCAATCAGACTTTCTGGAGGTGGGCCTGAGGTCTCAGGATTTTTGAAAGCTCTCCAGGTGACTATAGTGTGCAGCCAAGGATGGGCACGACCATCATATTGATATAATTTTTGTTTAGCTATATTAATATCACCAAGCAGGAAATAGGCAAGTCCAACCTTTCCTGCTTTTCGCCCTGAGGGTCATATGTCCTCTCTCTCCTGAAGATAGGTGACCTCACCTATTCTCTATTTTGTCTACTAATTTAACACCCAGGCTTATGGAGATGCCCTATCCTAACTCAAATGGAAAAACCTTCAGGCAGTATCTCACAGGTCTCCGGTGTGGTACCTTGTTAGGTGTACCAGCAACATAAGGTAGGACGAAATGATTTGACATATATGAGAGGCAGAAGGATCCGATATTTTATCTTTTACCACCAGCATTTGACAGAAATGAGATGGGAGACAGCTGGAAGCAAGTGGTAAAGAATCTGTCAAAAAGAAAGAAAGAAATTTCCTGAGTGCTGATTTCTCTGTGGCTGGCAACGTGGGTCCACGATGTAACATTAAAATGAATCAGAAAAAGATGATTCCCGTACACTGAGAACTGAGATGGTTTATACTGTGTATGAGGCGCGGAGTGCCACAGAGGTAAAATGCTCTGGGGGCGGGGGATGACTTCCAGCGGGAGGGTGGGAGTCTTTGCAGAGGCCGCCCGGGAGCTGGGAGGATTTGAACACGGGGCGGGAAGGATGTCCCGAAAGGAAATGGCCCGAGCACAGACGAAGGGGGTGAAACTCCAGAGGATGGACAGGGAACAGCAGGAAGAGCCATTTCCCTGGGCAGGGGACAGTAGAAGACACCAGTACTTTAAAAATCCTGCCCCTTTGGTAGTTTTGGAACTATCCCCCCTCCAGGATTTGGTTAGATCTTAGCAAGAAGCTGTGAGCGCTCGGCTGTTTGCTTTGCACACTCGTAGCCTGACCTGATGTGTCCGGGGGGTTGAGTGGCGGATGGAGCAGTCTCATGAATGCATTTATATATTTACGGAATTAAATTACAGAAGAGGAAACTTGGCGATGAAAAGACCAAGCATTTCAATGGTGATACAGCATTTTCCTACGGGGTGCAAGTTTGGCCATCTGTCTTTTCCAGTTATTATTATTTTACCTCAATAAAAAGAGGGTAACTGCGGGCTGTGCGAGTGCAGAGCAAGCTCGGGTCCGGAGATGAGACGTGTGCTCACGTCAGTCCTGCGGAGCCAGGGAGGTGACAGCCTCACAGCCCAGCGCTGATGCCCTGGACACCCCGCAGCTGTCCCCAGGCCCTGCCTGCCGCTGTCACGATGGCAACGCCCCTCCCCAGAGAGCAGCCCAGCCCCAGGACACCGCCAGCATTTAAAAATGAACGCAGGTGATCCTGGATTGAATCTGCACAAGGAAAAAATCCTTATAGGAATGTCCGTCCTTTCTAAGGCCCTATTTGGGACACATGGGCTACATTTAAATATGAATTGTGGATTAGGCGGGCGCTTCTCAAACTTCAGCGTGCTTCAGACTCAGCTGTGGGCTCGTGAAAACACAGACTGCCAGACCCCCCGCCGAATTTCTGATCTGCGCGGCTGGGCTGGAGGCTGAGAGCGTGTGCTCCTGACAGGGCCCCAGGTGACGTTGGCGCTGCCAGCCTGGGGCCACACTGTGAGAGCCGCTGCATCACACACTGGCACGGCACCTGTGTTCAGGTCCTGATTTCGATCATTGGGCTGCAGTTACGTGAGAAAATGTCTTCAGTCTTACAAAATACTCACAGTAGTGTTTAGGACAAAGGGACATCATGCCTGACCTTCCCCTCAAAGGGTTCATGAGAAATAGACAGATACGCAAAATGAATAAACAGAATGATAAACCAAATGTGGAAAAAAGATAATAATTGGGAAATCTGAACAAAGGGTACACGGGAGTTCACTGTGTTATTCTTGTAACTTTTCTGGTAGATTAAAATTAAAATTAAAATAATTAATGCAGGGAAAGAAAGCTATAGCTTATCATCTAGATCTGTCCAATACAGTAGTAGCCACTAGCTACACATGGTTATTTAAATTTAAGTTAATTAAAATTAAGTAAAATTTAACACCAGGCTCCTCAGTCGCACCAGCCATACTCCATCAAGTGCTAAAGAGTCGCGTGTGACTGGTGACTACTGTATTAAACAGCACAACTGCAGAACATTTCCATCATCACAGAAGGTTCCTTTGGACACTGCTGACTACAGTGAAAATTTTTTAAGGGCAGGGGAGTTCAAAGTGCCAAAAGCAGCAGCAGAGATAGCAGTAACAGCCATGAGCGGTAGGAGTCAAGTGTTTCCCACAAGGATAGTTTATTCATCGAATGGGGCGAAAGGACGAGAAGGACTGAATTACAGCAGGTGGGCCACGGGGGCCCTGCATAGACTGTGACACAACTGCCAGGCTATCTGCACGGCCACCACTTTGCACACCTCACCGTTTGATAGACTTTCTTAACAATCCCCTGGCTGAAGGAGAGGTACACATCCGAATGTCCTGGTTTTTGAGACTTAAGTATGTCAGACTTTCAGATACTTTAACTTGGCTCTTGGTTTCATTTTGGGTGATACGTCCGCTCAAGTGTAAAGCACAAGCAAGGCTGGTTTTTGTAGTCACCCTTACTCCTTTTGAGATGCTTCTCCTTTTCCTGCCTCTTTTTTTCTATGTCTCAAATACACAGCACCGTCTTGTTCTCCAAAGTTTCTGACCAAAACAGGCCTGCCTTCCACTCTAAAGAGCATCTTCTTTCTTCCGGCATCAATCATTCCATTTGGGTCCCAGCAACACCCAGGTGATGAGCTAAATACACTTGAAAGTATGAATAGAACTAAATTCTTCCAACGTGCATTTGGTGAATACTTGCTCCCAGAATATGCTGGGAGATATTGTCTGAGCAATGTCATCTTTGGGTAAGGGGGAAAAATGGCCCCCGCCCCAAAGCCATACCACTCAGCCACTGACACCCCCTGAGCCTGCCCAGACCTCTATATACTGACTAGGCAGCTGACCCTCAGCAGGGCACAACCTCTGCAGAGTGGGGCTACAGGGAGTCCTGAGGGTGGGGCTATTGCATTCCCCAAGGCTGATGCCCTATGGAGGGGAGTGCTCCACCCAAGAAAGATGTCACTCAGCACAGGGATCCTGGTGGCTGTCCCTTCAGCTCTCTCCTCTAATCCACATATCCCAGTCTCTCCTCATGCAACTCTAGTCCGCTCCACCCTCCCTCCACCTAAGCCCAGAGTGAGTTGCTGCAAATGAGATTTTGTGCTTTGGCCTTTAAAAGGGTGCCTGTCTCTAACACACTTCCATCTCTCCTGGCAGACAGAATCCCCTCCAATTTTCACAGCCAGATGTTATGTGGGCACCTTCCCAGCTGTGGTGCTCTGGGCTGGGGAGCCCAGCTTGATGTTGTGACCCCTCACTTCTTGGGGAAACTTTGTAGCTGAGATAACCCTCCAGAATCTTCGCTGCCACCAGTGGGAGCTGGGCCAGCCCTTTTGGAGTCTCTGCCCTTCCTACCAGTCTCAATGTGGCTTCTTCTGTAAATTCTTGCTTATAAAACTTCTCTTCAGTTAGTCTTCATTTGGTTATTCAGGTTGCTCTACATTTTAGATATAATTCCAATTTGGTCCTGGGAGGAGATGAGTGTAGCCTCCACCTACTCTGCCACCGTCTTGGATCTGATCTAACTCGTTACAATTCCCTTCAACCTAGCCTCTCAAGAGTAAATGCAGAGGTCCACATTACAGCTGCACCTTGTCAACTTTCCTCTATGGTACTGTTCTAAGCAGCCTCATACTCACTTGGGGATCAGTAAAATGCATAGCCTATTATCACTTGGAAAGAATATGGAGTGGCAGGGGAAACTGCAAATACCTGAAGCCATAAATCACAAATCAATAAATATAAAGGATTTTCATGGAGAAAATGAGCCTTATTTCCATTTCCAATTCTCATTAGGGGAAATGAGCCATAAGAGCTAAAAGCCAGAATTCAGGAGATGCACCTCTGCTCTGTCCAGGCCTCTATTATGGCATTTAAATGTTCATCTAAGCACTGGACCATTGTAAGAGGTTTGGGGAATGCTCCCCCCACAAAAAAAGATATTGAAGCATTCTTCTGCAGTACTTTCTTCTTAAAACTGATTCATTCTGAAATTTTCCAAATGACAGAAACCCTTCATTAGAAACAGATCTATCAATTACCTAGAGATGATCATTCTTAGCTGCAAGACACGAGATCTTAGGTCTTTATAGTTCAGTTTGTGGTTTAATAGTTGAACTTTTGAGACATCTCTTTACAGACTTTTTCTATAAAACATATTTTTATTAAGATTTTGATAAGAGAAGGAAAGTCTCACCTCACAGTACTCCGTGATAATGCAGAAATTATCTTGCTCCACAAAGCTTGCGTGAAACTTGACGATGGCTGGGTGGTCCAGCTTGGAAAGGAGCTGGGCCTCCAAATTTGCCTGTACGGTGTCATTTGGATTGAGTTCTCCAACCGAGATTTCTTTCAATACCTTTCTGCAGCCAAAAAAAAAATTTTTTTTTTAAATACATTTAGAACTAAAAAAACACATTTAATAGATCTGAACAAGTGGTGTAGGGCCATCTAATTAATGCCTAGGCTGTGACCTACTCATAGGTCTGGTATTGCCTATTATGACACTGTGTCTCTAGGTGGTGCCTGGACCTGCCTCTCTGTCCTAGCCAGTGACATGACTTCCCCAAGGCCTCTGACCTCTACACCTGAGGCTCTACAGTTTTGGTCAAACAGGGCAGAGAAGGAGCTAATCTTGCATAATATCACTGAGGTGGCCCTTCCTCTATCTCTCCAGTTATCTCCATTTTTCTTTGTCTTTTGCATGGTGTCTCTATTTCTGTCTGTCTTTTTCTGTCTCTCTGGGTGCTTTCTCTCTCTCAGCTGTTTTCCTCTGTTTCTGTCTGCTTTTCAATTTCTCTCTCTATCCCTATCTTGATGTCTCCCTGTCTCTGCCTCTGTATCCCTTTGTCTCTATCTGTCTCTATATATACACATGTGTATTTGACTATAACATAATACAATGTAATATAATTTAATATAAATATAATATCTGTCACTGACTGTCTCTTATTCTTGCTTTGCCAAACTCTTTCTCTGACTTGCTCTCTCTGCCTGTGTCTCTCTCTGCCTCTGCATATCTGTGTATAATACACATAATGCGCACACACACACACACACACACACACA